GGTATGGGATAATCACATTGAAAAATCCATTTTTCTGAGAATTTTTCATATAAAAATACAACTTCTTAGAAATATTTTCCCAAAACCTCAGGTCATTTGAAGTAAAACTCATTAAGATAATGAGCTATGCACTGCGCCCCTTTTGAACCGGCCGAGAGCGGCAGGCAGGTAGCCGGAGCAGCTGCTTCCTTGCCCTTCAAATTTTATTGCCTTTGTAAATTGTTGTCCTTTGTAAGTGTCATGACAGAACGCGAGCCTACGTCAAAAAAATACGTAGCAATCGCTGACCTCGTGTCATCACCCCTTCGCTGTTGCCGCTGCTGGAAGCGCGTCTTTCATTTACGTACTTCAACATGAGACGTACATAGTTTTTGATTTTTTTCGCATTGACGCACCAAACCTAAAAATCTGAAAAAATTCATGAACAATTCTTGCGGCAATAAGAATCTATCATAAAAATATGGACAGTGTATCCGAACGATTTCTATGTGAACAAAAATATGTTTAGCACCTTCTTATTTTTCACGGTTACATTTTGTAACAAAAAAATCTGAAATAATTCTCAGACGTGTCCAGTTATGCTACGGACGTGTTGGAATTTTTTCAGATGAATAAACAACAAAGAAAAAAAGAATGGATTGTCTGGGTTTCGAACACATGGAGCCTCGAAGACTCCGAGTCTCGAAGCGTCGAAGATTCCGAGCCTCGAGGAGTGAATTTAGAATTCGCTTGCCTGACAGTCAGCACGCACACACGCACGTACTGCGTCACTCGACACGCGCCCCTTCTTTTAGGAGATGCACGAAGCCGGCCGCGAGATGGAGCGCTTGTAGACGAATACCCTAGGCACGAGCATGGCAAATCTTATACGTATATTTTCAGCTCTCTTCGGCGTGTCCACTTCTGGAGGGGAGTAGTGCACAATCCCTCCTAAACTACGTCTATTTCCCCTTAAATAATGGACATTGACACTAGGGTGCGGTAGTGAGCCGTGTCCACTTTCGAACAAAGAAATGAGCAATCTCCCTTTTCATCTCTGTTTGTACCTTTCAAACCTGCTTGAAACCTTTGTTTTCATTCGTTGATCTTTGTTTTTAAACTACATAACGTAATGAGAAAAACAATTAATCATGATGATGGCAACAACGAATGAATTTGGCCCTGACTCTGGTGGCAGAGTTAAGGTAAATTTCTTCTAAGAACAACAATTCTAAATTCCTAACCCAAAAATGCTTAAAGAAACAAATGTAACAATAACAATTGTACCAATAATTGAAGTTCAGCCAGTCCAAAAGTGGAAGATCAAATGAAGACTAATGATCGAAATGTTGGAACTTTTTTCCAGGGAGTTACCATAATAAAACCGATAGTATACGGTAACGTTGCTCGTTATTTTGGTAAAAAACGGGAAGAAGATGGTCATACCCATCAATGGACAGTCTATGTTAAACCATATCACAACGAAGATATGTCGACTTATGTCAAAAAAGTTCACTTCAAGTTACACGAAAGTTATAACAATCCTAATCGTATTATAACTAAACCCCCATACGAGCTCACCGAGACTGGTTGGGGAGAATTTGAAATTGTCATTAAAATCTACTTTCATGATCCTAATGAACGACCTGTAAGTACATCTATTGTAATCATTAAACTTTCATGGATTCTCGGAAGAACTGCATCTGTAGAAATGCACAATGCAGTTTTTAAATATATCTCCTAAACTGATACTTTAAAAATGCGCAGCCTAATGAACACTAATTATCTTGCATAGGTAACTATATATCACATATTAAAACTGTTTCAAACGACGCCAGAAATACAACTGGGCAAAAAGAGTTTAGTGTCCGAGTTTTATGAGGAAATAGTATTCCAAGATCCAACAGCTTTAATGCAACACTTATTAAATTCCAGTAGACCTATAACTCTCGGCACTTGGCGTCATAATACAGATTGTATGTAGCATTTTCATTTGGTTTGATTCAGAGTTTAGTTTGCCATTATTACAACATTTTGTCATGTAGTTGAGGCGAAGAAAGAGTCTACGATGAAAACGATAATCGAGGCAAGAAATAAGATTAGATTGGAGGTGATTGATCTCAAGGAAAAATTGACATTAGCAAAGGAAACGATTGCTAAATTTAAAGAGGAGATTGCTAAGATCTCAAAAACTGGTGGAAACATGTCTGTCACATAATTAAAACCTTTATACATTTTTCTATAAGTTTTTTACAAACTAATACAATCATAAGATATGATAAGCAAAATGTATATAGTTTTCAGATGGGATGACTGTGGAATGAGTGAAATGAAAATAAATGTATAAATTGCGTCAGGGACACGAAATGTTTCTGTCGTCTTGCATGTAATTTTATTAAAATGAAGGGATAAAATTATTAGACGCTTACTTGTTTCGTTTTAGTCTGGTGCAATATAAAGGAGATTCCAGAAACTGCGAGGAAAACACTGTAGATTTATTACGGTCATCGCAGTCTTAATGAAACCACTTGTCTCTTCGTAAATTCGTTAAATTAAAAACGTCGAAAATGAATCCATAAATCTTTCACTCAGTTTCATCAAACTTAGAATACAAATCGTATCGTAAGTAACAAATAGAATTTTTAAGCTCCCCGAATTAAGGATGTATTGGCTATACAGTCAATCCCAAAAGCTTATGCACTTTAGAAA